AAAAAAAAAAAAAAAAAAAACTGTTTTTCTAGCCAAACGCTTCATCAAAACCCTTTTAGGAAACATGAGCAACCTTTTGTTTCGTTTTCCCTGGCTGCTTTTTTTCAGTCACCAATTAACTTCGTTATTACTGCTTACCAAAATTATCTTCAGAAAGTTTTTCTTTTTTGCTTTCAGTTGCATCGTACGACAACAATGAAGTCATAATATGGTCTGCACTTTTTCTCAGTAAACTAAAGTTTGAAAAAAAAAAAAAACAAAACTTCTTCCTTGTGTGATAGTCAAAAATCATTAGTTGTCATTTATTAATCATGATAACAGCTCAATGATCAAAACCATAAGAAAGTACAACAGGTTTCTTCTCTAGAGTTTGCCTACACCCATAATCCGTAAATGTTCGTTATTTGTTACAGATCCAATGATTCTCTATTTTAACCTCTGAAGCTGTCGTTGATTTTACATTGAAAACATTCCTGATATTTAAAAAGCAATTTAAAGAGCAACAATTCTTCAATACATCCCTGTAACAAGTTACAGCCATATCAATGTTAAAACTGTTTTGCAACTTCAGTATCGCATCCTTCAGGCTTCCATTTCCTTTTTTTCTGTTTTGAATTTTTAATTCCGTCTTTTCGTCGTCTTCTTTCAGATGTTCAACCTTATTCTTTGAACAAATTTAGTACACCATTGAAGAAACACAACAAACTTTATGAAAACAAAAAAATGAAGCTTTCCTTTATACCGCAAAGCATGACAAATAAACACAGAATACTTCAAAAAATCTATCAGGTCTTGAAGCTATTGAAATTCTTGGCATTATTCCAACTTAGAGATAAAAGGAATATATATAATTTTGCTTGATTACAGTAGTGCCTTTCCGCAAAAAAATGTTTAACTTCAGTAAAAAATTTTTTCTGGCTTTTATTTTTTTATTTTTTATTTTTTATTTTTATTTTTATTTTTTTTTTGCTAGTCAAATAATATTCTTGTTTGTTTACAGAATTTTGCTATTTCACTTTCATCTTTTGTTCATTATTTTCTGAATAAATACAATATACATATATATCAGCAGTCTGATTTTTTATCTTTTCTCCTTTTTCTCTATTTTATTCATCATTTTCCACCTCCCATTTCGCGTTTCCTTCAAAAAAAAAAAAAAAAAAAACTGTGGTAGGCCAACAAAAGTGCTGCAAAGCTTAAAAAATCAGAGTAGAGAAAAAAAAAAAAAAGATAATGTTGCGCTTGCAGCTTGGCATTTAAGAGGCTAAAAACAAATCAGTAAAAGAATTATAGGAAAGAACAAGAATGTGCAAACAACAACGGTTTAAAAATTTTGTTTATATATTAATAAAGTTGCAGCAATAACAAATACAATCACAGATGAAAAACATAATGGACACAGATTGTGCCTACTTCGGTTTTTGCTGATAGTTTCAGAGTAAAAGCGGGGAGGAAAGGGAGGCAATAAGAATAAGTGGTGGTGGTGGTGGTGGTGGTGGTGGTGGTGGTGGCGGTTGGTTAGTTGATTGATTATCAGTGGTCGGCTAATTCAGTACGGATACATATAAAGACGGAGACCGATGGGGTAATGCGGATATTATTGGGTGTCTACAATAACAGCAAACAATACATTGTTTACAAGTTACCGGCAAAAGCAGAAAAGTAAAAAAATACACTGATATATCAGAGAGGAATATGGAATATAAAACAAGTTGGAATATGGAACATAGCTGCATCAAAAAACAAAAACAAAAACAAAAGTAAAT